TCTACAGGTCTCCTATCATCTAGCTCCTAATTCTGTACCAAGCATCATTTAACATTGCTAAATATTTTTCATTTCTAAAATCCAATTTGTGGATACTCACTATTTTAAACATCTAGCTCACTAATTGCAAAATCTATAGGAAAGTCCTTACAACATCAAAGACTCACTTGATCCTCAGAGCTATTATAAATGGACAACTGTCTCTGTTACAGGCAAATAAGGCACTTAATGCACTCTTTCTGGCTGTGATGCTATTTTTCCTGTGGGTTTTGAAAATGACCTTCCTGTAAGCATCAAGGACTGTAACTTTTCAGATAAAGAAACTTGTTCTTGTTTAAAGTCTATGCCAGGTTCATTCCCCTATTGCCCACAGTTTTCAAAAGCAGAAGAAAAAGTAATCCAGAATTAAAAAAATAAAAACCCTTCTGTTTCCAGAACGAAGTTACCCTGTCAGCTTGCCTTGGGCCTTAGGTGGAGAAGTGGAGATTAAAGAGTCAGTATTCCTTTTCATGTTTCGTCTGCCAGTTTTGTGAATGTAAAAAGAGTACTTGTGGCTGCAGCTAAGTATCTGACTGTAGCATTAAGTACAGCAATTTCATCCTCGTGCAGTAAATTAAAAATATTCTTATAAGTTTACCATGAGAGTTCAGTATCAATACCATCCAGTCATTGATAAAGGTATTTCAAGGAGAAGGGTGAATAGCACAGCAGATGTAACCTCAATATTTTCACCAATTATAAAGAGCCTCTTTGTGAAGCTGTGTGAATATGTAAGATGATCTCATCATTTCCTATTTACTCAATACTTACCTGAATACGCAATATAGAGTAGCTTTTAAATGCATATGCACATGAGTAAAATGTCCTTTTGTAAGAGACTTTACTAAAAGACTGCTTTTGATACACAATTTCTTCATCTCCTCTTCAAACTGAATTAAGCTACTTCCTTCTTTTAAAACACAACTCACTATTTAGAAGCTTTGGCTTTGATTTCTCAGAACAGCCTTACAGGAAGAAACTATGTTCTTTTTCTATTTGTAACCATATTTCTGAAGACAAACTTGTACTGATTTATTTTAATTTTCTAACAGAAATAGGTTCCTGCAAAGAACACTGACTGTTTCTTCTTTTGCCCCCTCCTCCATTCCGCTGCTACAAGAATATTGCTGTGCACAAAGCTACCAAGGAAAACTGAAATCCCTCTGTTGCGAACTGTGTACACAGCAATATATTCATACTTTGAGAAATAAGTGAGGGGTTTTTTATTTCTTACCATGACATACTGTGCGCTTCTTGCATGCCAACCACTGAATTCAAATTGAGGAACTAGGTAACATTTCAGCAAATTTTAATCAGGTTTACCATCCACCATTTTAGGGAATATATCTGTGCAGCTGACATAAAGGTCACCAATTTTGAAACATTAACCCTCAGTTAGTCCCTTTGATTAAAGGGTTTGTGTATATGTCTCTATATGTGTGTGTGTGTGTATATATGTATATATGTATATAATTATATATATAATTATATAACCTGATTATGCTTAATCCCATCACATGAGCCATCCCACCAATCTGGTCACAAGTCTCACCTTGTCTGCCATACTGGGTACTCCATGTATAACACAAATAGAAATATAAAATTATTTGCACTGCTCAGTGAGTGAGGGATTTGCCTGAAAACAAAGCATCCTGGCAATTCAGGATGTAATCTACATGGCATTACATTTACATTCAGTTTGTGCTAAACTGAAATGCATGGTCTGTTGCTAGTTAGAAAACATATCTTCACAATCAGAGCTGAGTGGAGTGATTCTTTGCTTTCATTTCTTCTCAAATTCAGGAACTTTATTAATGGGCTCTCCGTACCTGCAAACTGAAGATCTTTAAAATGAAACTGGGCTTTACTCAGTAAAACTGGTTAACAATAAACTGGATAAATTTCCTTCCCTGTTGCCTCCTTCTAATTGCTTTTTTTTGCCTCAAAATGCTTATCTAATTTCAAAGTTGCAGGTTGGCAATGCCAGCAGTAAAAGAATACTGTAAATTAGAAAACAATTCAAATTTTTTTCATTATCATTTTCTTTCATCACATTTAGAAATTTCTTTTCAAGGTATACTGGGAATTTTCAGAACTGAGTTGGGGGTGCCTAGTGCACTCTCACAGGAGGTAACAACCAGATTTAGCAGCACAGTGCAGCTTGCCTGCCAAAGAATCTCTTTATAGAGAGAAATTTTATATTGAATCATGGGACTTCCTTTAGAGCATGGGCCACAAATCTCTTATATGAAATGTGCTTTAGACTGACGCAGCAAGGAAAATTCTGTGTATCTGGTAATATATCTAAGCTGGCCAAAAATAGAGTGGGAATTTGCAGGTAGATGAACTTCACAGAAAGTTCATTTTTAATACAGTATTTCAAACATTCTTTGGATGTATTCTTTGTGCTTGGGAGCCTGAACTCTGAGTGCAGATGGTTTGTATATAGCTCTGATGCACAAAATTCTCATTCTTGAGAAAGCAGGCATCTTTTCCTCTTTTCCATAGCTCTGAAATGAATGCTCTGTTCAGTCCATGACACAGACTTTTCCAGTGGTGCAACAACCAATGTATAAGTTACTGAAGGATGGAGGATTTGTCTAGGATGACCAAAAGAGCTGGAGAATCTGGGACCTTATGACTATCACTATGAATAACTGCAGTGTGCCCTTCAGCCACTGCCTAGTGACTCACCTGGTACTTTGATTTTCAAATGTGTATGTGGACAGTTGTCCTTTGGCACCTGTGTAGCATGGTAAACTCCTCAGATAAAAACTGTTCCAAGGAAGACACTAGTGTATTTAGGAGGTACAAGTGCAGATAGATTTTACTAGTTCCTGCACTCAGCTGTGGGTATTCGTGTTTCCAGAAAAGAGATAGTATCACTCCACGCTTGTGTGCACATCAGTTTTACACTCAGCTGTAAGCAGAGTATTTTGAATGTCCTGTTTTACTGAAATGGAAATGCTTACCATAATCAAAACTTACAGCAGTGCTTTTCTTCCTTTATTCTTCCTAACTGATAAAGTTGGGCTAATTTATGTGAGATTGTTTTCTAAAGTGGCTTACAACATTGGTTTGACAGAAATGCTGGGTAGTCAGTTGTTCAAGTTTTATCTTTATTCTGCTGTATAATGAGGTTTTGAAGACAATGAATTATCATAGTGGAATATTTAGAGCTTGAAATACAAAAGTAAAAATTTAGGGAAATAGTGATGTCTGCCAGGACCAAACTTAGTTCACTAGAGGCTGCTTAAAAACATAAAGACCCAGATACAAATATTTGTTTATATTAGAGCTAAACATAACTTGCACTTCACATTCACTTTACATGGCATTATTTTACATGCATGTTTTTCTCTAGTAGTTGAAAAATTGCAGTGGGGATTGGAGGATACCTCCAAGATAAGGAAACATCACTGTTTGTATGGCTGCCTTTGTAAACATCTTTTCCTGCAGATATCTGCTGTACACAGATTTAGATATAGATACATTCACATGTATAATTGGGGGTATAGACACTTGGTTAACTTGAAAGCTCCAAAGTGTCATTTGTCACATTTATGGTAGGAACTTTAACTGCCTTAAATACTTATCCTTTTCCAAAGTGACTTTTTTCTTTTCTCTCAAAAAAAAAAAAAAAAGAAAAAGAAAAAGAAAAAAGGAAAAATAAAAGGAAAAGGAAAAAAAGAAAAAAAAAGAAAATGTACTTCATGAAACTATTGTATATGAAGCACTTATTAGCCGTAATTAAATGGACAATATGAATTTACTACGTCTTTAGGACTCTGGCTTGTTCTGGTTTAGAGCAAGATGATTAATGCAAATACATATTACTTGAGATAACCATTTAGCAGCTAATTTAGCCAAATTTATTACAGCAGTTAGAGGTTTTTCATTTTAGCAGACGGAGACAAGGACATGACAAAAGCCGGCGGTGACTGTGAAGGCACACTGCCCTCTAGTGCACGAAGCTTTGCGGCAATCGTGAGGGAGGCAGGGAGGCAGAGGGCTCCAGCTCGGCCCTGCCGAGACTTTGTGCAGTTTGCGGGTTTTATAAAACCGTTCTGCGACCTTCCACCGAAAGCTTTGCCTTTCATTCCCTTCTCCTGACGCGGAAGAATCAGATACAAAACAAATCCGTTTCAACTTGGCAATATTTTGGCTGAGGTATTACTTTAAACATCTGTATTTTTAAGCTGTCTTGCTGTGAGCATCAACCAGCACCGTTTCACATTACTGATTGCTTTTACTTCTTTCTGTTTCCTAGCATATTTCAAGCATTGGAGAGAGCTGCCGCTCTTTGGCTCTAACCAAGCCATTCTGTGCCTCCCCTAGGCCTCTTTCTCAGCCTGTTGGTGGATTTACTTTGCTCTGGTAGAAAGTAAATTCTCCAAAGACTTTTCCCCCACTGACCAGTGGAGATTTGGTTCATCTGAGAACTGTAAATTCTGTTTGACAAGATCAAAGAAACAGATGTATAAGTTCAGTGGTTGATATCGCCTGCAATGAGGAGAAATGATCAAAGCAGCAGGGGTAGAGTATCTTCCCAAACCTTTCAAATATCCAGAATCTCAAAGAGGTCTACCTAGAAGCTATGAATAAATCACATATAAATTTGCCTCTTTTTTTCCTTTTCTTTTTTTACAGTTTGACATTGAGTGCATTGGAAATGTCCACATAGCAATAAGTATTCTGAGAACCGTAGAGATTTGTAGGATTTTTTGCTTTTCTTCTTCCACTGGAGTTTCCAAAAGTAGATTAAAATTATACTTTAAAACTTGTAAAATGGTAGTTATACTGAACTTCAGATTCTGTTTGTCATCTCACTGGCATTAAACCCAAAAGAAGCCAAGTATCTTCTGCTTATACTTGTGTCACGTTGTACAATGAAGGTCATTTTACCACAATTCTAACACGTACTCTATCTTGCTTGTGTTTTGTTTGTGTTTTCCTGTCAGTGCTGAATAAGGGTCAGTGTGTAACAAAGTATTACCGCTGGATGCAGAAGAACGGAGGTTATATCTGGATACAATCTAGTGCAACCATAGCTGTCAACGCCAAGAACGCAAGTGAGAAGAATATCATTTGGGTCAATTACCTCCTTAGGTAGGTCTCCCAGTCACTTCTCTCACTTCAGCTGCTGTCTCTGCTGCTTGTCTCTGTCAGTGAGAGGTCTAGGAAAAAACAACAGCCTAATAGAGAAAGTTGAGAAGAACTTTTCATGTAGTCCTTGTCAAAAGCCGTGCCATTTTGTTATAGTTATTGAGGCATCTGTCGTATCTCTGCACATGAGAATATTCTTGAATTATTATGCTGCTTCAGTCTTGAAATAAACCCTCCACTATTTTATTGCATGCCCTGAAATCTACTCAATGTGAGCTCAAAGATAAAAATTATCCACACCAACTTTCAGTAGCTGTGTTATAAAATCTGGTGTGAAGTGTTTGGCACTGTTTTATTTGGATACTAAAAATGCAGGGAAGCAATCTGCTGGTACGGCAAAAAAAAAAAAAAGTTATCTCTGAAAGGCATTTGCCAGTTCACTCCAGAGAGAGGAACTTTCTCAGGACAAAAAAGGCTCAAACAATTTTGTTGTTCCTGTAAGCATCATATAATATTCACACTGAAAAATACAACATAAGATATAAAAATAAAAGTACTATAAACTACTATTTTAAGCTATTAGAACTATTTTAAATAGAAATATTAGTAATTACTTGAATGAAAGGCTGTTCCCTGAGAAATTCTATTTTACCAAAGTGTTTTTAAAGGACTGATTTCAGAGCCCAAGGGAAAACCAACAGTCACTGAGAGACAGTGAATTATAAACCTGACCTTTCTCATCTGAAAATACCTTTCAACACATTCTGTTTTGTGAAAATGTTCAATAAGATTGGGAAATATTCTGTTTCGTTCCAAAGCAGAACAAACAAACAAATAAAATTTGAAACCTTGAGATTGTCATGAAATGCAATTGTCATTTTCTGGCCTGTTCTCCTTTTAAGTTGCTTGTCATGGTTTTTTATATTCCCTTTGATGCCATGAGAGTTCAAAGTGATGTCTAGGGGTTAGATTGTGACTTATTATGCCAAGTCCAGCAAGCCCTGAAGAGAGTGTGCCTGCCTAAACTTGCATGTTGAAATGCTTTTGATTCCCCTTTTGGGGAAGAGAAGGAAGCAACCCCTGGCAGGAGAGCATTGAAGGGGTACTGAGGGAAACCTCACACGGCAGTGGAGTTTTCACTGGGACCTGGAGTTTTTTGGCCTGATATGATTTAGCACAGACTTTTCTGAACATATCCTTATCCTGCTACTTTTTTGTCTGTTCTTGCAAGTGTGAGGCAGAATGCAGCATTTCAAGAGGTCAGATTAAGGCTGACAATTCTGAACTGGAAGTACAGATTCACTGCCCCAGTCCTTAACTGGGCTGCAAAATGCCCAGAAATGTTCTCCTATTTCCTGCTTTAGCTGTAAAAGTCATGCATAAGAATTATGAACAGCTGCTTCTGTCCCCTTTGCTGCTTTCCAGACAATAAGTGAACCTAGTCCACAAACATCCCACAAAATAATTTCCTCTACAAGCAGAATATACCTAACCAAAAAAAAAAAAAAAAAAAAAAAAAGATAAGCTGTGTGGTCTGTCTTCCCCAGCTCTCCTCCCAGAACCTGATTTTTCTAGTCTGTTAGAGAAATATTAACATCTTCACTGAATTTGTGGTTTTAATTTAGATTTCTCCTTGTACTGGAATTCACAAAAGATCTAAATGTCCAAATAATATTTTAATAACAGATTAAGGCATAATTAGGTCTACTCTTAGCAGGAGTACTGGTCTGTATACATTTCCATGCATTAGAAAGTATGATTCAGCTGTCTGTAAAAGGATAGACTAATTATAGTGACAGGGAGGATTACTGCTGTTCTTGTTCTAGCAACTTGTTATTCACAGTGTGAAAGCCCTCAAACATCTTTTGCTTGGAGGGGGCAAATTTGGGGACTGCCCTGGGATGCAACAGAATAAAGTCACTTTGTCAGGACAAAGCCATAAAGATGATAATTGTAATACAGCGTCTCAATGTGAACTGTGTGAACTCTGAGTTTTCACAGTGCACTCTAAGAGGCTGAATATGAGCATACTGTCATTCTGAAAGTGTGTCAGGCACCCCCAGTGCCGCCTCATATTGTTCCATGCAGGACTGTGGATTTTCCATTTTACCAGAATTGAACTTGAACTGCATGGAAATGCTCACTCATTCAAAAATTATTAAAGATTTGCTATTTTTAATATTCTCTACCACTTATGTTTAGCTATGGCTGTTCCCCTGCATTTGCATGCATTTAAGAAAGGAACACATTTTAAAAGGTACAAACCAAGCAAAAGCAGAGTGTTGCTGGGGTTTTCTTCCATCTCTCTGGCAGTGCAGCTTTTTTAGATTGCAGTCATGTTCCTTGCTAACAAGTCACAGGTGAGCACCACATGAGCAGATGAAGATATGATTATAATGGGTGTGTTGACAGTTCTTTATCCCTAACATATGCATCTTAACATGCACATGTGCATCTGTCACATAGTTAGAGAGGTTGTTTTTTGGTTTCTTGCTGATGTGGATGTATGTGTGCTGTGTTTAAAAATATGTAACCTATTTTATCTAATTTTTGGCCAGATTCTTTGGAACAGTGGTCACTTTTTTAGCCCTAGCTGAGCACCTCCTTAATAATTTCATGTGTGATGTGCTTGATTAAAATGTGGAAAACTGGAATGTTGAGAAAAACAGGCATTGAAAGGACTCTGGCAAGGTTGATGGAGAACATTTCTACAGAGATAACTCTGATAGACATTGCCAGTGGGAGAGAAACAGATTGGAAGAGTTAAAACACTCTCTCTGTCCTCCCAGGCACAGTAATGGGATCAAAATCAAGATATTTTGTTGTTGGATGATTACACAGTGTAGCTTTACTGCTAGATATCACACAAGCCACGATGTCCCACTTCAGCAAGGATGCTTTGATAGCTCTAAAACTTCACTAGAATCAAACAAGGTTTAGTACCTGGTCAATAAAGGTTTTTGACTGCAGTATTAAAATAAACCTTCACAAAATCCCTGCTGTGAAACTCTGAAGCCAAAAATATGTGTTTCTGTGTTTACTCTGCTATTCTTCCTGTTCTTTGTTCCTGAACTTTGATATGAAAAGAGGAAAAAATCATGAAACTGCAAATCATCCAATTGTGTTTATATTTGCTGTATCCTCTTTATATTTGTTGTATCCTCTTCAGTAACCCAGAGTACAAGGACACTCCAATGGATATTGCACAACTTCCTCACCTGCCAGAGAAAACCTCAGAATCCTCAGAGACCTCTGACTCTGAATCGGACTCAAAGGACAACTCAGGTAACACTCATGGTGTGCCTTCACACCCACGAGAGGTTCTTATCATGAAAGACACAGGACCAGCTTTTCACTTGCTTTTCCTTCTCAAGTATTTTTCCATTAAAACAAACAAACAAAAAAATCATATAAAATTAAATTGAAAAACACTAGCAAAATCTTTTAATCACCTTAGCATTTCCATTTCCTCAGAATTTCTCTTCACTTTCTTCACGCATTCTTGCCTACGTAGCACCAAACTAAATATTTGATTCCCCAGCTGTGCTTAAGGTGTTTTGCCTTGTGCAGAGGACTTGAGATTGCTGTTGGATAAAATTCAAGCTCTTCTCTTTCCAAAGTAGGCAGACATTCTACAAAGAGGTCTCCACCGTCAATCTATGACTCCTTGTGTATAAATACATTCTTGAAGAGTCTCACTAGGGGGCAGTAAAGATTGAAAAAATTTAGAGTTTTATTGGGTTAAAAGTTATATTTAATTAAAATGTGAGGGTTCAAGAACTTGTTTCTACGCTCTTAAAGTCTGGGACTTCAGCTGTTTTTAAAAAGCTGAGTATACTTCTCAAGTTCTATGTGTAAATTAGTCCTACAGATGGTCCAGTGCACAGATGGTTCACACATTCCCTGTTAGTTTTAACAGTGGTTACCTAGGCATAGGTGCAAATCATCTGGCCTTGAGAGAAGTGTGTTTTCCTGTAGCCCAAGAAGTAAAGATGTTTTTCAGCTGTTCTATGTAGGATGGGTGGATAGATAGATAGATAGATAGATAGATAGATAGATAAACAAACAGACAGATAGATAGATGATTTTTCTCTCATGTCTATGATAACTACCAAAAACACTCTAGAGGAAGTGGATCACTGTGATATAAATCAAGAAAAAGCAAGAAGAGGATCAGGATATTATATTATATTTTCATATAGATGTTCTCTTTCATCTTTTGCTTTTATTCGTTATCCTTTGACATCTTGGTTTAAGTCAATGTGCAGGCTTGCTGACCACTGTCATTGGGAATTTCTTCATCCATTCCCAGTGCTTCCTTTATGCTGTCTTGTTCCTAAATAGCCAAATAACACATATGTGGGGAACAGTTTGCATTTCCTGGAAATGCACTGGCAGTTTCTCCAGGTGAGCACATGAGAAAGACATGTACATTCATGACTTCTAAAGCTGATGCAGAGCAAGACAGCATTCCAAAGGTGCACAGATATTTATATCTCTGAAGGAGATGTCTGGGAGTCTTGGAAGGCAGAAGACACAGGGGCTTTTTTACTACAAAGGCATTAAATAGAAATTCCAAAGGACCTGAATTTGGAACAGTATTTTAGATGAAACCAACAAGTTCAGTTCAACCTGTGATATAATCCCAGGCAAATATTGTGTAGCTTTAGACCACCTCACTCTAAGACCACCCTTCCCCAGCTAGTAACCATGGCCTTAAAAGAAAGCATCTTCAAAAAAAGGAAGAAAAAATTGTTGGACAAATTCAGTCCTAGGTGGAACAAAACATTGGATGAGACTTAGGGATTTACAGCCACTTTTTTACTTTTTTCCTGTAGGTTTTATTTTTCAAAAGGAAGGGTCTCTCTGCTGCTGTTCACACAAGCAGAAGTCCCACTAAGTGACTTGCAAAGTGCAGTGTGCTGAATGCTCAGGCAGCTTTCCTGTCAAAGCCACCTTCAGCACTTCTGGGAAATAGTTTGGTATTGACATGGCTCCAGAAGTAACCAATATCTTTAGAGACAAATGAATCCTTCCCCTCTCCACCTAAAGCAAAGATGTTGAAAAGGGTAGTACTTGGCTCTGATGAGCGAAAAACGTCTTTTATTAGGCAACAAAAGATTTCTGGCTGGTCTGTAAAGGACGGGGTTTCCTGAAACCTTTTTTGACCCTTTCAAACATAGGGTGATAATGGAGCATATTCAGTCTCAAAGCTGCTTTGGCTCTCTGAGTCCAGTGGGCTACAGTGTTTATCTCACCCGTATTAGAATTATAATTAAATTAATTCAGGCAAGAAGAGTGACAGCTTCTCAGGGCTGTAGATGTGCTATTCTCAATGGTCTTTAGATGATTTGGATCAACCAAGAAATTGATTCATTGGCTGATTATTTTTTCTGTATTTTTTTATAATTGTTTTCCTTCAGGACAATATAAGACAACAGTCTAGCAACATAGCAAAATTGTTTTAATAATAAACTGGTTTATTCATTTATTTTAACTAGTTTATTCATTCATTCATACACAAGTTGCTTCTCCTCTCACATGGGAGGAAATCAGCAGTAATTCCACTGCAGCCAGAGACTCTATGCCACTTCAAAAGTGGCAATGGTCATAGGAAAATCAGATGAGAGTACTAGAATCTTCATTAGTAAATAGTGCTATACGTGGATGCCTGCCCACTGCAGGAGAATATGGATGTGAAAGAACAATCACCAGAACATTAGGGGATAATGGGATTGTTCACTGACTCCTCTTTGGATGGCACAGCTACAATGCTGTTGTGCTCACAGCTGTCATCATGATTCCTGTCTGGTGAGCAGATGAAAAGGCCCCTCAATCGAGGTGCAGCCTTATAGCATAGGCTTCTAGACCATTAACAGTCCTGAGTCAGAGACATTCATGGTGATCAAAACTCTCCCAACACAACACTAAAAAAAAAAAACCATGCAGCTCTACAGAAGAGAACATCTTTTGCCAAAAATAAACGTTAAAGCAAATCAAATCTCATTGGTAGGTAGAAACCTGGACTTGGATTATAATATTATGTTCCTATTGCTAATGCTTTGTTTCACTTTCATTTTGCTCCAGAGGACAATGAGAACTCAAAGTCAGATGAGAAAGGAAACCAGTCAGAAAACAGTGAAGACCCTGAATCGGACAGGAAAAAGTCAGGAAATCAGTCAGATAATGAAATGAACTGTAATGAGGATGGGAACAGCTCCAGCAACCAGGACAGCAGGGACAGTGATGACAGCTTTGAAAACTCAGACTTCGAGAATCAGAAGGCCCCTGAGGACAGTTTTGGCACTCTTGGCTCTATGCAGATCAAGGTGGAGCGCTATGTTGAGAGTGAGTCAGACTTGCGGTTGCAGAACTGTGAATCACTGACCTCTGACAGTGCCAAGGACTCAGACAGTGCAGGTGAAGTAAATGCCCAGTCTTCCAGCAAACATCAGAAGAGGAAGAAGAGGAGAAAAAAGCAAAAGGGAGGCAGCATGACCCGGAGAAGGCTGTCAAGCACCTCAAGTCCAAATGGACTTGACTCAGCTTTGGTGGACCAGCCCCAGCTGCTCTCGTCACCAAACAGTGCCTCAGTGCTCAAAATTAAAACAGAAATCTCAGAACCTATCAATTTTGATAACGATAGCAGTATTTGGAATTACCCACCCAACAGGGAAATCTCAAGGAATGAATCACCCTACAGTATGACCAAGCCCCCCAGCTCCGAGCACTTCCCTTCCCCCCAAGCCAGCAGTAGTTTACATGTCTCCATTCCAGACTCTGTCCTCACCCCGCCAGGGACTGAAAATACTGCCAGCCGTAAAACTCAGTTCAGCACCTCATCCAACTCGGCCTTGGCTCCAGTGTCCTCTGACCCTTTGTCACCTCCACTTTCAGCATCTCCAAGGGACAAACATCCAGGAGGTCCCACAGCGTCCAACTCTTTGTTGTACACTGGGGACCTGGAAGCCCTTCAGAGGTTACAAGCAGGCAATGTGGTGCTTCCTTTGGTTCACAGGGTAACAGGAACCCTTGCTGCGACCAGCACTGCTGCTCAGAGGGTCTACACCACTGGCACTATTCGCTATGCTCCAGCTGAAGTTACTTTAGCCATGCAGGGCAACCTCCTCCCCAACACCCATGCTGTTAACTTTGTTGATGTTAACAGCCCCAGCTTTGGGCTGGATCCTAAAACGCCGATGGAAATGCTCTACCACCACGTTCACCGACTCAACATGTCGGGACCGTTTGGAAGTGCTGTGAGCGGGGCCAGTCTGACCCAAATGCCTGCAGGGAATGTGTTCACGACTGCCGAAGGACTTTTTTCCACTCTTCCATTTCCTGTGTACAGCAATGGCATTCACACTACACAGACTCTGGAACGGAAGGAGGATTGAAATATGACCACATACTGTGTTCAGTGTTATACTCTGAGGCATAGACTATGTTTTAATTTAGACCTTTAATTCTAGCACTTTGAATTTGAGCAGGTCAGCTTATTATCTCAATATGATGGTCCCCATTTCATTCCCTTTCTCTTTAACTTGACTTATTCTTTAATGTAAAGATATTTTTTTATTTTTGCCTTCAGAGAGTCGAAGTACCAGTTGCCTGCCATTTTGTCTTCTAAGATGTGTGTTTTTTCCTTTGCATCTTTATTAAGATGCCTTTAATATGTGTATGCCTCTGCCATAGAATACTCAGTGTTGTGGTAAAGAGATTTTAAAGTGACAACCATTGGTTTTACTTCAAAATGATCTTGATATGATCAAGATTAAAAGAGACAAGCATAAACAATGTGCCCTGTTTGACTAAGTCAAATGAAAAGGGGGTTTTGTTCCTAATTCCTTTAAAATAGGGGATAGTATTTTAGAATTTTATGCAGAGTTTAATTCTCTTTTTATGGTTAAGATTTTCTTACTTGCACATAAAATAATTTGGGTTCTTAAAAAGTTAATTTCTGGCCTGTGACTAGAATGTTAAAAAGTTGGACTAAATGTTAATTACAGAAACTTTAACTTAATTTCTAAAACCATGGTGCTATCATTTATTAATCTGTAATGTCTTCATTCAATATGCAGCTTGTGGGCTGGGTTTTTTGGAAAGAATGTGTTCCGTACTGGTTTATAGTGGGGTGCTGCAGTCTCCTTGGTTAGTTAAGACAAAAGCCCTCATTAACATTTGCTGCAGGACTTAAAATTTGTTACCTCCAAACTAACAAGCATAGCCTCACATCAAATTTAAATGGGTCAGGAAGCCTTTTTCAAAAAGAGCTTAAAAACAAAAAACTCAATTTAATTGACGCGAGGAGCAGTTTCTTAGGTGCATATTGTTTTGCTTTATTTTTTTCTCAGTGTAACTGAGGCTAATTTTACAACATCAAATAACACTTCAGAGTAAAAAAAAACCAGAAGAACTATTTAACATGTTTTATTTTGTTTTTCATTTAATATTATAGAGGGAAGGTTGTAAATTTCTTTTTGTTCTTTGATTTGGGTATTTTTTGTTGTTTTCTTTTTCCTTATTTCTAGTGTTGAAACCAATATGTTTTAAAACTAAAGGATGGGTTAATAAGCTTGAAATAGATAACTACAACTGAAAACTGCACATTAAGTAAAAGAAAAGAAATCTCCTATTTTGTCTTTGTTGCCAGAAATCACAGTGTAGTGTCAAACACTCCAAATGACTGTCAAATATAAATTCTTCTTCCACTCCATCTTTGGCAGCTGTTTGTTAAGGCATCTAATAACAGATGTGAGAACTGTAATGTGTACAATGTGTAAGTGTCCTTGGCTGTCAGTCCCATTGCAGTTTCAATGTGTGTTACTATATGCAGTATATACTAAGCTAATGTAGTTGTTTTGTCCTTTGTCTTCTCTGTGCTTTATCTCTAGTCCGGAGTGGTAAAGTCCCATTCCTGCAGTCCTAGTGAACCAGTGATTCTTGGGGGTTAGTGGTTTTTGTGTGGTGGCCTTCCTCTGTAATGTCACCTTATGCTGCTTCCACTGTCTGTATACCTTTTAATTTCTGCTGTTGCTTTGCTGTTGTGTATTCTCAAACCTCTCTCTCCCCCTTCCTTTCTCCCCTCCTCCTCCTCTACACGTTTCCCGTCTCTTTCTCTCGCTCTCTCGTTCTCTCTTCTTCACTCTCAGAGATAAAAGACTCTTAACTAGCTCAAGGTTAATGGAGCCATTTTTTCCCACAGAGGAATTCTGGGTATGACTTACTCTTCCAGTGTACCCCACAATGCACTACAGAGTAATGCTCAGATATATTAAGCAAATTGATGCCATATAGCCTCAGTTGTTAACATTCCCAGAGTCCTTGTGCTCGAACTGTAAGCAGAGGGTGCATTTCTTTGGTTTTCTCCTAGGTAGGCTGGCAGAGCAATATGTAGAGCAATTACCAGTGAGATAGGAAATTCTTTCAAAGGTCAACTGGCATTGTTTAAAAAGGAAACCGAGCTTAGAATTGTCATATATATTCGCTTACGTGTGCAATGCTAATGTATTAACTCAACTGTCCTTCGAATTTTTGATCACTCACTGCGCTGAGTCAATTTCTGCGGTAGCTTTGAATTTGAGAAGGAGGTCCAAGCCACAGAGGAGTGATAGCAAAAAAGGAATTGGACGCTAGAAATTTAATTAATGAGCTTTTAAAGGTTCCATGGGAAGGATTTATGTAGGTCTGAAAAAGGCGAGAAAGCTGATTGGGAAATTCAAAGTTTAATTTTGGAAGCTCTGCTCTAGCTATGGAACAATCAAAGGACTGCACCTATCAGCTACAAAAAACAGCTAGACAGCTGTTGTTGTTTTGGGTTTTTTTTATAAATGTTTCTGTGTTGTGTCAAAATGATTTCTGGTGATTTAAACTAACAGATAATCACAGCTGCTGTCTAAATCCATAGTGTTTAAAATTACAAAATGAAAAAAAAACTTCATTACCTGTGAAGACTGTGTCTGTGTTTTTAACTATTTCTTGTACAAATATATGAAATCTTTTATGAGGAGACTGGTGCCAAGTAGCTGAATAATGGGGAAAGGGATTCTGTTCGTATAAATCTTAGCAGTGTTACCAACTCTACAATATAAAAAAATTAAAATGTTAAAAAGTGACAGCTATGGTACATTTATTTTGTGTTAAGCTAACCGAATCTAACTTCTTGAGTGCCTGGCTTATTTGAAACATTTTTTTCATTGATCATTGATAATGCTGCAAATCAGAAATGTACATACTTCATTTACAACAGGGTTCTTTTTATACTTTTGTAGATTCTCATACATGTCATACATGGTTGTCTTTATGTAACTTAATTTTTTTTCATCCCGCAGGTGCCATTTTCATAATAAACTTCTCTTGGATTTGTTACTATCTGGCATCATTTCTTTTACATATAACCATCCTGACTAATGAATGCTGGTAGTATTTGTTTGAGCAGGTATTTTTTAATCATTTTGTAAAAAAAAAAAAAAGAAAAAAAAAGAAAAAATAATAAAATAACTAAAATGCAAGAAAAAAATAACCAAAAATGAAAGAGGAAAAAGCAAGATTTTATTAACACTTGTGAAATGAAGAAAGGAAGCTGTCAAGATGTAGGTTAAGAATGCTAATCCAAATACTACAACAAACTTGCCACCATTCTAAATTCTCAGCTACCCCAACTCATTGTCATATTGAGCATTTTTATGCACATTATCAAAGCTGAATAATGAACCTGCAACATTAACCACTATAGAAAGTGTGCATTTTTTCCTTGATTAATGCACACTGGAAGAGGTCAGCTTTTGTACATTAATCATTTAAAATGCACTTTATATTTTCATTTTTGTACTCTACAATGTTACAGTGAAACTCTTCAGTCACATTATATCCTACCTAGGCTGCTGATTCATTTAAATGTGTACTTTCTTTCCCCAGAGTGGTGACCTGTAAGTAGTTGGTGTCATGCTGCTAGACATTCTGCCTTACCAACTGAGGACAGAAACATTTGCCAGTGCAGAACTGACAAGGCAAAAAGCCTTGGTCCCACAAATGAAAGGGGGGAAAAAGTCAAATACACTTTTGATTACACAGAAACCCACACACAGTGGCTGGCCTTAAAAAGAGAGCAACCTTGCATAAATTCTGGGTAAAAAAAGGCTTAGGCCAAGTGGTTTTTGTGTCTGTAGTAAAGAGCAGGGAGAAGCTAAGGCTTAGGAGATGCCTCCCCAGGTACGCATTGCTGCGTGCCGACCCCATGGCTGCTGCTGCACGTGCAGAGGATGGGCTGGGGGTGGGACAGGAGTGGCAGCCTTCTCACCCACTGCAGTTCTGCATTCATTGCCTTTCTTTACCGTGCCTCTCCCACCTGTGACAAATATTTCCAAACTCCATATTTTATTTTGTTATGCTGAGTACGCACTCTCTAAGAATGCAAATTTGCCCATAGCCAAAATCTCTGAGCAACTTTGGGTGCCTAATCTCTTCTGTATGTCCACTTAGAAATTAATGCTGCTGGGCTTGTCATTCTGGGTCAAATTCTGCTTGCCTTATAAATGCTGAGTAAAACTGTCTATTCACAGTTTGCAGCTCAACTCCTTACTGTGAAAGATTCACCCAGCTGAAGTAAGAGCATGTGAATCTGGCTTGCTGGGCTGATTAAAAGAAAAAATGTGCACAATTATAGCTCAGTGAGCCAGCCCAGCACCTTAATAGATTGAAGTCTGGCTCTTTCAGCTTCCAAGCAGTTCAGGATGCCCACTTCCCAGGCTCCAGGCACTGAGTTTGATACAACTCCAAGTTGCAGGGGGTAGAGAGAAGCAGAGGTTAGTGGTGCTGCTTTCAGCTCTGCTTGCGCGTTCCACTTGGCAACACGTCTTGTTTATGAGGTAGCTAAGGGTGCCAGTGCCAGCCGAGAGGAAAACAGAATTTAAATGCAGATTGAAAGAATGACCAGAATAAAGCTTAATGGAAGAATAACATGCCTGTTCCAAATAAGTGTTAAGCAGTATTACTAAAGCCACTAATTCCAAGAAGGGGCTTGAGAGGGGCATTTCTGAGCAATTATAAGGGTTTTTTATACCTTAACCATACAGCCTACACATGCATCAGAGCATGGAGTTGATGGTCAAACTTAATAGACTGCTCTAAGATTTACAGTTGAATGAGGAAGTTTGTGTATTAAAGAAAATTACGGAAAGGCCATTTCATGGAGGGGTTTTCACAGTGATGCTGTTCCACTCATCTATCTCCATTATCTGCAGCAACTTTAATAAACAAAATCAACTGCTTGAAAGCGTTAAGCCCTTTGGAAAGGGTACTTTGGGGTAGGCCTAGCTGCTATCTTTGTAATATTTGAGGAAAAACTCTTTGCCATGCAGGAAGCTGGGCAAACTTTCTCAACTCATTTCATCAAAGGACATTTCCCAAAACAACTGATCTCAGTAACTGCCATCTCTAAAAAATTTGTTCCTAACCCACTTGTTTTGCAAGGTGATGTGTGCAGGTATTTAAAAGCTAGCTGAAGTGTTGCAAGAGGAAAAGGGCTCTTTCCAAGGCTCAAGACTGAGAAGTTACAGCAAAAGAAAAATATTTCAGGAGTACTTAAATAATCAGCTCTGACAGCTTGCACTGGTGCTTTTGCACAGTGGTCATGTCACTGGAGTAACTGTGATGCCCCTGACAGCACATTTATTGTTATGATTCTAGGAAATGCATTAGTTTAAATGTGTCAGTGCTCTCAGAGTTATTTGCATAGTATTTTCCCTTCTTACCATTGTAATTTCTTTATTTTTCATTTTAGGGCTGGGGGAGGAGGGTGGAAAGACTGGATATGCATTGTCAACTAATTTAATGAACTGTCATCTATCCAGTGAGTTTA